CTGCTGTCCCTCCTATCAGGACCTTCAGGCAGGAAGCGGAGACAAAGAGGGAGAGACAGATGAGATATGTTAAGAGACATGCACAATAATAAGAGTGAAAGGAAGAGACATACAAAAGGAAACAACAAACAGACTCCATCAGTGGATCAGGATCAGAAAAATGGCAGCCACTGTTTCTCTGTTTTCTTTTCTAGATTTCAAAGTAAGTCACTTTCAAAAAGACACATTTTTGGTTAGTATCAACCACACCACTAAAGCGAAACAGAAGTTTCAAATAGTCTCGACAATAGGGTAATTATTTAAGGTGATTTATTCATATAATTTATGTCATATAATACTTGAATAGAAGTTGTTACCCATTTCTCTGGTGTCATTCTCGGGGACGTGTAACACCTCTGGGTCGCTGGCAAACACACTGGTAGGGTGGATCACCACTCCATGCTTATTCCTTGTGTGAAACACCTAAACAATGTAGAATCAAACAGTGAAAGTGGAATATTTCACCCTACATAATTTCTTCAGTCACTATTGAAACTGGTTTACTGACACAAGCTTTTCCCCTTTGTTGTATCGTTAGAAGCTGGTGTGGGTGCAGCAGCAGTCCTCACCTGCTCAGAGTCCTTGCGGTTGGAGTTGTGTTCATCAGGCACTGCCAGCTGAGGGTAGAGGCCTCGGCAAAGCAGCAGCTTGAGCAAAGCCTGCTGGCGGGATGACATGTCCTGACTGACACTCACCGCCTCCTGCAGCTCTGACACATTGTGACGCAACTTGAACTTCACCTCCTGTTGCAGACAGAAGAGCGCCATGGGGAGATCAGTCAGAGTGTAATTGTCTCGAAATACACAAAGAAACAAACATATCCACCCTCGTAAAGATTACTAGCCTCTATACCATATATGCTGCCCTTTTACCCTTTATACAAAGATAATGTCCTCTCCACCTTTTCTTCTTCTAATCAATTCTAGACCCACAAAACTCTCCTCTAAGTTTTTCTTCAAATTGCTGTGTAACAGTATTTAAACATAGATTTTACATACATTTATTTGTTTGTTAATGTTAAATGTTGGTGGTGAGGGTGAGGGCTGCTTTGTAGTAACCTTTATCTGTGTTACACTGTATTCTGAGTTCACCTGTATGTCCATGTTCTGTTTTGATCCCTGCTTGTCCTTCTTGCCTCTGCCTGCTTGCTCTGTGTCTGATCCTGAGGAGAACTCTCCGTCCTGGCCCTCGTCCAGCCTCAGGACTTTACGCCTGCCGCTCTCCTGCTGTTCATGATCTCTCTTCAGCTGATGCAGCTCCCTCCTCTCTGTCAGCCTCTCCCTGCGCTTCCCACGGTCACTACCAGAGGGAGCGCTGTGCTCTGATTCCAGCAGGCCATGGCTCCTCAACAATTCCTGTTAACCAGAGAGAGAGAGCTCATATTGTGAAACAGTGTTCACATAAACTTTATTCATAAAATAGTTTTCTGTGTTAGCGGCCCACCTTGAACTGTCTACGTAGGTTGACCATCTCATACAGCCGCTGCTCCTCCAGGCCTCTCCTCCTGCACCACTTCCTCGAGCCACTACCTCTCTCTCCCTTCATCTGAGTTCAAAGGTGAACAGGTTCATGTACAATGAAGGCAATCTTATATTCCAGCTGTTACACTGTTGATCTGGTTTGTTTTGAATGGCCACTGTCACATAATGTTTCCCTTACTGACCTCCACCCAGGCATTGAAGGTGTTGAGCAAGGTGAAGGGGTCTCCCTGGTTGCTGTGCAGGGGCTGGCGGGCAGTGGCGCAGTCTGGGTTGTGCTGCGAACTGCGCAGAAAAGGTGACTGAACGCTGAGGGCTGCTGCCACTGTCAACACGGGCTCCACCAGGTTGAACAAGGAGCCCAACACCAGCATCTTCCCTGAATGAACACAAACACACTTCAGATGTCACTGCTGGTTAAAGCTGCTACTGTATGTGTAGCATTTTAAACTCCAGTATGTCATTGGTAAATTAATTGTGATATGTTGTATAATTACTGCAAGTGAAACATCATGAATCTTACCTATGACCACATCTACGGGCAGTTGTGCCAGCAAACTACCAATAGAGGTCAGTTCACTGCGACCGTCTAGCGCCCCCTGCTCTTTCAGGTAAGTAACTGCAGTCTGAATACTAGCAGCTGGAGGTGGATCAATGAAGACAAAAGAAAGTGGATCTCCAAGACACATGCTCTTCATCTGCACAAACAAAACAGCATAAATAAAGCAAGAATTTAACTATGGGAATAGAACTGCTTTCTACAGGACGCTGTTACCTGAAGAATGAGGGAGTCCAGAGCCACTCTGTGGATTTCTGGCACAGGATAAGGTGCGAAGGCATCGTAGTCAGACTCAGCGTACAGTCGGTAACACACTCCTGGACCTGTACGACCGGCGCGCCCTTTCCTCTGCTCAGAGCTCGCTCGGCTGATCCAGAACTCCTGCAGACGTTGCATCTTGGCCTTAGGATCAAAACTCATTTCCTTTACCTTTCCTGTGAAAAAAATAAAAAACAAAACAATCCATTCATGTGGTCTGAGCCAAGGATGGACTTATTGGTAGCTCCGGCAAAGTTAATCCCCAGCTAGACGTTTTAGTTCCTTACCTGAATCCACAACAAAGCGCACTCCATCTATTGTAACTGAGGTCTCTGCAATGTTGGTGGAAATGATGCACTTTCTCACCCCAGGAGGAGCAATGTCAAACACCTGAGGAATAACATGAGGACAGAGAATTAGAACAGCTAAATAAACACAGCAAACATATCAGATTTCCGATTCTAATCCAAACAAAGCTGACTGTGCCTTATCCTGCTGGGCCAGTGAGAGCGTGCTGTGCAGCGGTAGGACTATCCAGCGACTCGTGTGCGTGGCATAAACCTGACAGGCCTCCTGGATGGTGGAGATCTCCGCCACACCGCTAAGGAAGATGAGCAGGTCGCCGCGCTCCTCCAGAGGGTAACGCTGATCGATGCCCTGCAGGATGCGCAGGTACGGTCTGGGATCCAGTTTCTCTGAGCGTGACGGCTGCTCCTCAGGTGGAATGGGCTGGTATATCACCTTAATACAGGAAACCAAGACAAATTCACTGTGTATTTGATTCATTACACACTGATTGAATGGCTGTTTTGTGGTCCTTTGTCCGTGATCGCTGCTGTCCTCTGCTCACCTGTATAGGAAACAGCCTGCCTGGTACCTGCAGCACAGGAGCACTGCCGAAATAGTCGGAGAAAAGTTTGATGTTGATGGTGGCCGACATGAGGATGAGACGCAGGTCCGGGCGGTCGGTCACCAGACAGCGCAGGACCCCGAGCAGGAAGTCGCAGTGGAGGTGTCTCTCGTGGACCTCGTCCACTATCACCACCTCGTACTGAGCCAGAGTCCTGTCCTGCTGGATCTGTCGGAGCAGCAGCCCCTCGGTCAGGAACAGCAGTTTGGTGGCGGCGGTCCGGGTGGTCTCAAAGCGAATCTGGTGCCCCACCTGCAAAAATACATATATTTTATTACTTTATACAAATGTTATCTGTTTGATTTCCTGTGTTTCTGTGTTTTTTATGGTCTGGCCAGTGCTTCAACGTGTTGTTTGACTGTTCATCACAAACCTTTGAGCCGAACTGATTGAGACTCTCAAAGCTGACCCTCTTTGCGAGGGATATACAGGCAATACGTCGAGGCTGAGTGCAGGCTATGTGGTTGAAGCCGGCTGAGAGAAGATACTGAGGTACCTGGGTGGATTTCCCACAGCCTGTGTCCCCTGCCACCACAACCACAGGGTGCAGTCGCACCAGCTCCACTATCCGGTCCCGGTACTGGAAGATGGGCAGGTTCTTCTGCTCCCTGCGAAGCTTGGCCAGTTTTCCAAAACTCTGCCTCTGGCTGAAGTCCAGGAAATGCAGCAGAGCCAGGCGGCAGTCCGAGACCTCCTGGCTGCCTGGACCCGAAGACCTCTGCCTACTTCTGTGGTCTGACTTCCCCAGGCGGTCCTCGACGTCCCTGGTGCACACAGACACATTAATCCTGTAGCGGGCGTCATACTCTTTAGGAAGACCCAGATCTACCTTTGCAGTCTTTCTCCGGTCTTTCCCCTCCTCGGTGTCCTCTCTCCGGCTGCTTCCTGACCCAGACATGTCCCTCTTTGTCTTAAACCTCTGAAAGCGGTCGAAGAAAGCCCAGAACTCTTTGTGCTCCTGGCTGCCCGTCTGGATGTAGTCATGCTTGCGGAAAAAGATTTGGTCCAGCTGTGCTCGGCAGTGCGGGCTGTCCCAGTCCCAGCTCCGGCTGTCTCTCCTCCGCTCCGGGTCCATATTTACTGTCACTTACTGACCATGTTTACCAATAATATACGACATGAGAGTGAGAGCAGTCTGTCCTTAACGTGGGGTTAAACTGCTGCACATTAAAGTATCAGACAATGCTGTAATAAAAAGAATAACTGCGGAATAAAAACTGGACAAACTCTGCCGCATCTGCTCAGAACAACTGGGGAACAATAACATTGTGGGACCACTTCCGCTCAGTTCATGTAAACCTTCCGGTAAAAAGGTAGCTACTCGGATTTGTTCCGGGGTGAAATGACATTTCTTTATTTGTATTTATTTATTTTAGCTAATTAACAAACCGAAGGTAAACACAGACAGTCATATACTTTATCAGATAATGTCAGGGGACAGAAATCATAAATCAGTTAAGGTTTGAATAGCTTTGGTCTGATGTATTCAAAATCTTTTAAAGATGGTTTATGATTTCTATATTTATATTTATATTTTTGCAAGTTGTATGATCAAATAGATTTTATTTTTTTGGTAATAGAGTACTCTTCGTATTCATGCATATGTAATGTCCATCACAGACACTGTCAGTCTCCATCCAGTCTCTTCACAGTGTCTCACTGAAGTGCAGAAATATTACAGAGGAAATAAACACAACACAAAGCAGTCATCCACAAAAGAAAAGCAACTCAGTGCATGAAAACACAATACAAAGAATTGGAGGATATATCAGAAATATTTTATTTAAAAACATCTGCTATAAAATACACATTTACACAGATTTGAGACAAATTAAACTAGACTGTACAAATATTGTGCTGAATGGAAGAGAGGTCATATTAGCCCATTAAACATGGAAGATTAAACTAAAACAAAACCCTACCAATTTACTCTGTTATAGAAATGCAGTTCACATCCATGATGGGAATGCTAATGCTTTCAAAAGTGAACATCAGTAACTTTTCAGGGATTTCTGATGGATTAAAAACTAATAATAAAATGCGTAAGATACCAAGCCATAGGAGGTATGATGGAACGAGCTTGCTGTCATTTTGTTTTTAAATTTATAAAATTTAGAACAGAGACAACAAGGAAATTCTTATGCTGGCTACCAATAAAACACAGGACAACAGAGTACAAGGACGCACATTTCATATGTGTGTGTAACAATCATGCCTAAAATCTATTTCTTGTGAGGCACATAACATTATTCTCCATTAAAAACATGCCAACAACAACAGCAAAAAAAATAAAATACACACACACACACACACACACACAAAAATAAAACATTTATTTACATTTAAAAACATGTCATCAAACCCACCCTCATAAAAATCACAGTGGACATAAAATGTGCTGCAGTTGCTCTTCAAGCAAACACTACCACGGAGTCAAGGCCACTACATCAGCTGGAAGGTCATAGTGGCGTTTGACCGAAGCAAAAATCAGTTCTGTGGTACTTCAGTCTGCATTCATGTCCTGATCCGTGTTGGACCGTTCTGCAGTGGTCTACACTCCCGTCTTTTCTTTGATCCAGCCACGGAACTTGGTGACTGTTGTGTAGATGCCAGGTTTATTCCTACGGGCACAGCCATCACCCCAACTGACCACTCCTGCCAGGAACGTACGACTGTCGGCTGGACTGGACAGAGGGCCGCCAGAGTCGCCCTAACAGAGACAAATACACAAATACACAAGGACACACACACACACAGGTACATGTTAGCATAGACGTACGACACTGGGGCCGTGTGGAACACAATTTCTATTTTCCAATTATCTTCTCTCTCTGCCTCTTTCACCTTTTCCTGCTTCCCCTCTCTCCTTAATATCACAATTTTTACAATTAAAAATGTTTCTCAGTGGTCATGTTATGAACAAACAACAAACAGTTACATTTGTCTGTTGATAAAACATCTATATCCCCTGTTTTGTAAAACATTGTCTGTTATTCAGAGAGAAACAGAAACAGAGAAATCAGGGTTCAAGGGACTGTTTTTTATTTTACCTGACAAGCATCGATTCCTCCACTCAGCACTCCAGCGCACAACATCCGAGACGTGAGCTGCCCATTCATCAAGCCGTTACACACCTCATAGTTGATGATTCGGACCTGGGCCTTTTGGAGCACCTTTGCAGCAGATCCTAAACACACACACACATTTTATCAAATTATGAAAACACAGTACAAACAACCACAAAATCCACCATATCATTACTTGTAAAACATACTGTACATATACATTTGAATTTACAATAAATGTGATAATTAAATACACAAAGCAAAGCCTAAATATATTTATTTAGAGATCATTTTATGTTTTTTCTTTATTTAGGAGTTAAAATTTGAATGATTCCATCTGACCTCCAGGGGATGCAATTGCATCTCTGGTAAAATCATCTACTACCACTTCTATTACTCACATCGAGAACTCACAAACAAGGAACTGAAACTGATTGAGATCCTTCTCCTCCCTGGATATTTTTTACAGCTTCAGTTAAAGTTGGGGCCTCAGTATTTATCAAAATGAGAAAACACAAGGTTTATTGTTTGCAGGGACTCACCTCCTTCTCTTGTGGCGCCCCACCCGGTGATCCACACAGTGCTGCCAGTTGGAAAATCATGTTGGGGAGATGGCAAGCAGATGGGCCTGATGTAGTCAGAGTATGTGACAGGAGAGTCCAGCTCCATCAGGGCGATGTCATTGTCAAAGGTGTATGCGTTGTAATTAGGGTGGGGTATGATCTGCTTCAGGTTCCTCTTCGCTACGACACTTGCAATACCACCCTGGGTGTGAAGGCCGAGGTAAGCTTCCCAAGTGCCAGGCTGGGAGAATCTGAGAACACAAAACAGAGCACAAAGTTCATTCTCAATCTTGGATAACCATCAACAGCCACATCATGTGGCATAAGCATCACCTTAGAAAATATGTAGGAGAAAACTGAGTTAGGCTTTGGTTCAGGGGTCATTTACTGTTGCAGTTAAGTGGCAGTGAGTGTGGCAGAGTATAATGACTCAGACTGTATCCAAAGTAAACTGAAGGCAAACTGAAGGCAATTTAAAAGGCAATATTTATTGTTCTACTGGAACATCCCACTGTTAAAGGTCCAGTGAGTAACATTTAGGAGAATCTATTGGCAGAAATGGAATATAACATGCACAACTATGTTTTCACGAGTGTATAATCACCTGAATGTAGGGACTGTTATGGTTTTGTTATCCTAAAATCAGGCTTCTACAGATGCAGCAAGTTGCTTTCCATGTTGAACGGCCATGTTTCTACAGTAGCCCAGAACGGACAAACCAAACACTGACTCTAGAAAGTGTCTAAAAAGTCATCTGCAACTACACCACTAGATGCCACTAAATCCTAAATACACACAAACATGAAGCTACAGTAGGATATCGGCTGTATAAAGAACATAATATCAAGGTATTATTTATGACAGCTGTATATTTGCTTAGTGTGGTAGGAGCTCTAAAACATGCACTGAGGGCCTGGAAGGGTTTCATGTGTGTTAAATTATTTATGCACACACCTGAGCTGTCATTAGTAAAAACACAGGAGGTCTAAGGTTTCAGTTTGCATGTGACAAACTGTTTACAGAACAAAGTCAAACAACTGAACTCACAGCTGACTTTCAGAATGAATTGAGGCCTTTAAACATATTTATGTTGTTTTTTTTTCAAGACAAAACTAGGGAGTATAACTCTAGTAGTTATAATAGTTATTGTTGTGTTTGTGTGAACACTATATTTAACTGTATATATAATAATGAATATAACATAATTTAAGTAACTCAAGCACTGTTGCAGAATTTGGAGACAACTTTTATTTGTCTAAAGACGGCTCAAAAATAATGTGGCCAGTAGAATAATACATGGTTAGTGGACTTTCATTAATTCAGTCATTCTACTGTTGCACTCATTTCAATTCATTTTGTATAAGTGCATCTGCTAAATATGTGCAATATGTGCAATATGAAGACTGAATGATGTAAAAGTGAGTGAGCTGCAAATACATTTGACTCCAGATTTCACCCTGAGGAAGCTGTTAGTATGAACACCGATTTGTCACATCATGCAGAAAAAAGAAGATTTCTAGGTGCCAGTGAGAACATGAAGCATAAAGAAACACGTTACTTTATCTTGCCGTCATCTTGCACACAGTGGGCAGCGGTGACCAGCCAGCGTGGACTGATGATGGTGGCTCCGCACACGTGACCAAAAGTCTTGACGTGGAGGCTGACCTGCCAGGGAAACTCCCCTTGCTCTGCATCCTGACCGCCCACAATACGCGACGTCTTGAACATATTCCTCCCGCAGTCTACAAAGAAAACAATCAATCAATCACGGGGCCGGCGTGTTGCAGCTTGTTGTGATGCCTGAAGTGGGTGGAAGGTCACACCTGTTTTGTCACGTATGGTAACAATGCAGGTGGCAATAATAACTAGTTTCTAATCGAAGACAAAGCACATACAGCTGCTGAGGTTTTGTGCGTCACGTACCGCAGCTCTCCTCGTCGGATCCATCCTCGCAGTCAGGTGTTCCGTCACATTCTGGGTTCACTTTATTGATGCATTTATTGTTTTTGCATTTGTATGTGAGGTCAGTGCAGCTTACACCAGATGCTGCTGGGAGAGGGAGAACAATCAAATTCAAACTATGAAACAAAAATCTCATATCACCATCATCAATTATGTGCAACAGTTTAAACTTAGATGTTAATTTCACATTTGCAATGCAGTTTAAGATGTTTTAATTTACTTATTTACTTACTTCTCCCGCAGTCGAGCTCATCTGATCCGTCCCCGCAGTCGTCACTGCCGTCACAGCGATTCTTCTCAGAAACACATTTGTTGTTCTTGCATGTTATTTGTCCGGATGAACATCCACCTTAGACAACAAGAGAAACAGATATGTATGAGAGATCTGACCGACAACCTTTTGAATGCTCATGCATAAATACATCCTCTATAAAGGACCTTAATGTCGACAGGTCTTACCACAGTCCATCTCGTCTGTGCGGTCTCCGCAGTCATCGACGCCATCGCATTTCCAGAACATGGGCTTACACAACCCATTTTTACAAGTGATATCCTTTTCATTGCACTCTGGAGGAAAACACAGGTAAACTTAGTTAGTTTGGTGTGCTTATGGCATAGAGAGTAATTACAATGATGTACAAATCAGGCTGACTATAATCTGTGTAAATATTACTTACTGCAGTTCAGTTCATCGCTCATGTCTCCACAGTCATTCCAGCCGTCACACTTGAGGTCTAACTTAATGCAGCGCTGGTTTCTGCACTGGAACTGCTGTGGACAAGCTGTGGATGACAGGATTAACGTCAGATACACTGGCCTAGTGTCAAGAAATAACCATCTGGAAGAAACTGAATCGCTTACGGTCTGTGACGTCGATGGCCTCGAACTCTGCACTGAAACCTCGGTCCACATAGGAGCCATCAGAGAAGAACAGCACGCTCATTGTGTTGGTGTTGCTGGTTTCCGTCACAGTTCCATCAGGCTTTTCTCCACACAGTCTGAGGAAGAGACGCACAAGCAGTGACATGTCTGCCGTCTTACGGAATTCCTACGTGATTTTTAGACATACAAGCAGGGACTCACTTCTTTCCGTTGACCTCCACGTAGTCTTTGCGACAGTCCTTACGCTTTTCCTCCCCCGGCTCAGACAAGAGGAACTTTTTGAACGTCAACTTCACCGCCTTACCATCAGGGACCTTAAAGATTGACAGAGATGAGTAGAAACTAAATGAGACTTTGTGAGGAGCAAAAGAGAACTGAAACCTGTGTGAAACATATCACAATAGCTGTGTCAGTGCAGACATCTCACCTGGATCGACCACTGACATGAAGTCCGGGGAGGATAGTAATTTGGGAAGTTGGGGGAAGCGAAGCTGCCCTTTTCCGCCCTCAGCTGGCCACCGCATGTCGTAGCTGTTAAAAAACAAAACAAAATGATGTGTTAGCATTTGCACAAATACTAAACATTTATGGTGCAGCTCATAACAAAAGAGCTTCAATTAGGACTCACCAAAGCATTAGTTCCTACCTTTATTTCCACGTTGGATTTGTGAGACTTGTGCTCTAAAACCTGGGAAGTTCTTCTTTTCATTTGTGGCCATTGTCACCAGCATGACATTACCAGAGGACAGAAAGGTCAGTGGTTCACTGGGTGAGTAGTACCCACACATCCTGTAAGAAACCAAGAAATGTATTTATTCTAAGATTGTCAAACCAGCCCTCGGAAAGCATTTATGCTCATTCCACTCTCTCTCTGAGAAAGTTGGACAATGCTCCACTGTCTCTACCCAGAGAGGAAGTAAACTAAGCGGTGCTACCTATACTTGCATTATTATAGAACCGAAAAGGAGTTGAAAAAAGTTACATAATGTAATTTTCCCAGCAGCCTTGTTATGAATTCACTGTGTCCAAGGAAACAACAATGAACGCTAAAAAGTACAGTTTCCTTACGCAGAAAACATAGCCTGTTTACTTTTCTATGAATAGACCACTGCATAACTCATAAATGCTAAGCTTAATATTTGATTATTTGTGATGCTATGTTAATATGCAATTGAAAGATATTGCGGCACTTTGAACACAATACTTCTCGCCTGCTCCAAATGCCATTAAAAAACACTGCCCATAAGATCAATTCATTCTTTAGAAATTGTGTATTTGAAATTTGTAGTATTATTTTTTAAATTATTATTATTTTTTTTATTATTGAATTATATTATATTAAAAGGCTAAAAAAAAAACCATCCTTTTCCACTACGCTGACAAGTAAAAGTATCACGTGGTGTCAATCTGGGTCACTTACACGCTGTCACTGAGGCAATTTATCTCTACCATGAAAGAATGCAGCTAATGATTTCATTGCGCACACATGAAAGTTCTTCCTGGAAATTTCCTGATAGCTTCTTGGCTGCATGTTTGTTTGTTTTTCCGGTTTTAAAAAGGTCAAACACTTTCACTTTTCAGCTGAATTGCTCCCAGATTTGGATAAAACTGTAATTTTGCAAGTGCTATTATTCTAGCATGAAGCTTAACTAAGGCAATGTTAGGAAGCTGCACCTTTATGTACAGTAAGAGCCCTTCAGAAGCACAGCATCTGACCAGCAGAGGGCCTTACATACATGATAAAGCCCTCTCCATGGGGATATAAAAGCATGTACAATATACCACTGTATGAAAATGAGAGTGCAGGAGGCAGGAGAGTAATTCATCTGCTTGAAGGTGTGTTTAGACGAGGCAAATGCCAAACTCACTCTTCCATAACGCGGCTCTCAATGGCCACCAGGGAGTCGTAGATTTTGACAAAGTCATTCTTGCAGTTCCCTTCCAGATTCATCGTGTCAAAGGCGAGCTTGATGACGTAGTTGGGGTCCGCTCTCAGCTGCCACTCCATGAAGGTGTTGGGGGGATACGGACTGTTAGGGAAGCCGGGGGACTGGATTTGCCCGATATTATTGGGCTTTGCATGTTCTGAAAACTTTAAGAATCCTGAGACAGAAACAATCACTTTTAGTGGCGTTCACATTAAACTTTGTAAATCACTATCACAAGACTAAAGAGGCCCACTTATCTTTGCAAATGAAATAACAATGTGTTTACAAACGTATTCTGATATGACTATGCTGATATTTACAATGAATAAAACCAAACAGCTGTGACCACTGTCTAAAATTACATTACATTTTCTGGATATGATGAAACAGTGGACTAAAAAGGCAAATAAATTACAATTACGCTTTTGCCAAATAAAGAGCAGCAATATTTTACAGGCATTTCTTGCTTGTACACACCCTAAAGATTTGCATTTCTTATTAAAACTCATTAGGGATAATAAATGCACACCCAAATATGACAAGACTACATGTTTATAAGTCAGAATGTCATTTTCTGAAGAATATAATTTGACATAATACTTCATTCTTGCAGGGTAGAAGGATGAGCTGAAAACAAAACTATTTGTTGTCAGCCAACTATTTGTCAGATAAATGATCTACTGTAACAAGTGACACTAGATAATAATCTGGTCAGAGCAATGATAAACCCCAGGAACTATGTTAGACATGGTTTTCCCTGATATATACATATATGTGAGCTGTCAAAAATAACTCCAGTAGAATAAATCAAAGATGCAAGCCGAGTACTTACTGCTGAATGATGTTGAAAACAAGCGGGCATCAAGTGCTGTGAGATGAAAGACAAAAACAAAGAACGGGCAAATAACTCAGATGTGGGTATTGACAGCAAAACAATAAAGTCCCCACAGAACTAGACAACTGGCTCTAAAACAAATCACAAGCAAAACAGCATTATGGATATGGACTGAATCACACACGACTCTACCTGAAGACACCACATCTTCAAAGACCAGATCGTTTCCAGCCTTGTACGAGCTGCGCCGCTCTTTGTCCACCAGCTTGTCCATTGAAGTCATGGCGCTGTCGACGGCTGCCTCTTGGCCCGTGGGGACTCTGAACTCAGACAGGTAGTAGGCGATAACGCTGCCTTCACTAGGAGCAATGACACAAGAATTAAATAGTATAAAGGCGGAGGAAAGTAAAAAATAAAATATATTAATATACTAAAAAGGGTCATGCTGTTATATTCTTTTTTGTTTGGTGATCTTGTTTTTCAGTAGCGTGGCTCTATGCTCTGAACAAATTGGTTTATGTTACAGACTGATACCATTCATACTAAACTGAAACTCTGAGGATAAACAGTAAATCCCATCCAGTTTTAGACATAAAAATCTTCTTATAAAACCAACAGAAAATGTTCATAAATCAGTGTTTTATAAACGGTAGCGCCTTTAGATCTGCATGCATCTGAATCCTGGATCCGCGGCCTAGTTCCCCTACAAAATTCAGTTCATTCTGTTGTTTAAATATCCTGCAAACCCGCACACGCACTGAAAAACAGGAATGGAAACATGATCCCGTTGCTAGAGGTAATGATAAAGGAGCTTAATGTATTATTATTTCACTGCCTTACCTGAAAGCCTGAACTGTAGAACCAACATAGTACTTGGCCAACTGTGGACTTTTAGAATAGATGGCTTTAAGCTGAAAGATAGAGGAGCGGCCAGGTATGAATGGATGTTGTTTCAAAGACCAGAATTGTTGACACAGAATAAATTTCATTTTTTAGGCTTGAGCAGCAGTCTTACCTGTGAAGTCACCTTCTTTGCCAGCGCCTTGAACTCGGTGCTGTTGGAGTTCTCGTAGGCGTTTTCAAACACCTGGTTGGTGATCCGCATGGAGCCGCTGTACATCTTCTTGACACGCACATCTTTACGGACTGCAGGATCACACAGACGACACTGAATACACACAGCTACACGCTTACTGCACAAGAGTTGTTTTACTTTCTCTCCTTTTTGGTGTTTGGTACTTTTCATCTGACTTTTTGCTTTGTTCACTTTTCTTAGTGTGTCACAAAATGTTTTTTAGTCCCTCAGGTGCACTTGTTTCAACGGATGTAGCTTTAATCTCTCCTTCGGGGTTTCAATCATTTGCATGTGCAAATAATCAAACAAAAAAAAGCAGCATCAAGCTCCAACTTGCCTACGAACACGACATGATTTATCAAAAACCTGTGTGCTCATGTGTTTTTGTTATTTTATCAGAAGGAACTTAAAGAGGACAGCAAACATATGCTTTCTGCTTCTTTTGATCTGTATCTTTACCTCCACCTAAGAAGTCAGTTGGTCCTGTTTGTTAAAAGGATATCTCCAAACTGTTTTAATGTGGATGCAGTATTTTTATTTAGAAAAATTAGTAAAAATGTGCAGAAAGGCCTTTTTAAACAGTTTTCTCATCATCTACTTCACAGAATACTCAAAAATGTATAGAATCTGGCAAATCCCATACTTTTGGGGTATTTTGATGCACATGTTTAAAACAATACCTTTAGGTTTAGTATAGACAAATAACATGCATTTGAACAAAATAATGTACAACATTTTACAAAAAAGGACTTTAACTTAAAAGAATCACCATACTACAAGCAGGACTAATTAGGTTACTTGTATATAATGTAACTGTCATATTCTTATTAGGCTATCATGATTGCAGAGACAATCAGAGACAGTTTCCATGTGCATTTAATAACATATTTTCTGTGAGATTTGCTGTAGTCTATTATTTGTCTCATGGGTTGGTATTAATCTAATTCATATTAAGTAAAGTTCTTACAGTGGAAATGCCAGACGAGCAGTCCGGTCATAAGCGCAACAACAGCAGCAAAGATCACCACACCGATCACAGCCCCGACCTTCCCTGGACCCTTTTTCTTCTCAAGCTTTTTGTTATCTGATGCTGGCAGGAACTGGACCGAAGTGTCCCAGTCTTTGTCCTGGAAGACAGACAGACAGTTGTGTGGGTGAATGATCAATACATCAATCCGACAGGCCTATATAAAGGCAACAACAACAACCACATCCAAATAATGTTTCTAACTATTGGACAGGAGAGTGAAAACATTTGTTGACATAAAGCTATAAAAACTTTTCCCTTTAAGGATGTCCCCCTACTGACACTGTGGACTGTGTTTGTTCTTTAAGACAGAATAGAGGTGGCTGTCTTTTCTCTGCCCGGGTAGATAATAAACTGGAGATAAGTGACAGCAGCCGACAGCAGGTAGGTACTTGTGTATTTTCGGAATGTCCCAGCCTGTGGTGACCAACAAAATAAGGGTCCAACTGTGCAACTATATTCTTAAACATGACACAATGCTTTTTCTTTGGACTAACTTTTTAATATCAAGAAATCGGAATAACATTTTCATTTAAAATCTGCTCATAAATAGACAGGACGGAGAGTTTCAGCGTCTGGCACTGTTAATGAATTAGAAGGAAACTTTATGCATGAGTCACGGCTCTGTAGTTACCTTCTAGAGGAGAGACAGGAGGGGGGAGGGAGTACAAAGGTTTCACCCTGTAAAATCCTGTCAAACCTGCTGGGAGCGAGGCACTCACAGGTCTGACGTGGAACACAACAAGTTTCTGTGAGTGCTCGCTGTGCTGTTGTATAGGACAACAACAAAAATTAGCCAACAGCAGATCATCTTAAAAGCTTTGGGATGTTTTAAAAAAAATCCAAACATCATTCCTATGGCTCTCTTTTGTGCCCGTCTTTTTTTACTCCCTAGAAGATTATCTGCAGAACCGTGACACCATCAGCTATTTTATGAACCAACACTTTCTTCCCGCCTCTATCAACCTGACACTCATGACAAGAACAAATTACATTGCACCTATAATGGCGTGCAAAACAACTCAAGCATTGAAAAGGTAGTGCCTTGACAGAATGGTAATTTTTGCATGTGTCGTATTAAATTCTCATTTTAAAAAGCTTGTCTTGTCTGTGGATATTACCTCCAGTTTTGGGGGCTCTTTTATGTTTATTAACTAAATATCACAAGCCTGAGGTGTTGTTTAAAAGTGACACGCTACAAATCGAAAAGGGGAAATCGATTGTAAATTAAGAAGCAGAGAAGACATGTCACAGCACCCCATGCTCCTTATGAAGAAGTCTTTCAAAACAACCAGGACTCATAACTCTTCAAATGTAGCAGAAATGTAAATGTTTACTCTTAAAGAAGCCTGAAATTAGGTGGAAATCTTTAAATAAACACTCCTATACACACAAAACGCACCTCATTTTGTCCATCTTTAACAGCCGTTTTCTTTTTATTCCAAATACATATCGTTTCACTGAAATATAACCCAGCCTCACTGTGTTAGACCATGCTCCGCTGGGCCCTGGAGGACAAATCCTCTGAGACTGAAGGGCATTTTCACATAATGCCTTGTGTTTAACACCCTACTGTGATGCTGTGAAGACATCTCGTATGGATGTTCTGCAGAGGAGAAGGACTCGAGTAAACAAGTCACAACAGGGCAGAGGAACCCGGAGGAATTCAGGCGTCAACCCCGGTCGGCTGAGGACCCGAGCCCATGAAGCTCTGGAACGTGCCTGAATGTTTTCACGGCAGGCGTCCGAGAGAGAGATACACATTCAGATCCCTACTTGAAAAAAGGTCTTATCTAAAGTTTTGATTCTGTTTAAAGGTTGACAGCTTCTGGAGTGTTATCTCGACTGTATGCTGCAGGAGGGAAAACGTCTCAGTACATCTTTTTTTCATTTTTGCTAACTTCTTGGAAATAAGGTACCAGAGAAAATGAGTCAAGATGCTTGTGGGCTTGGTGGTTATCAGAAAAGCTCAGAAACCTGTTCCGCTTACTAGGAAATCTGAGTTACATCATGGGCCAACGAACACCAGATCCAAGTACTTCTTATGATATCTGATTCTTTCTCATTCTTAACTGAACTGAGACAATGATTTGACATACTATGACTGTCTATCACAATGTGTACATTCAAAACTATCCAGATGTGATTTTCTTTTATCAGAATAAGTCATTCTGGGGGTCGTGCAGCCTCATAGGGGCTCTCATGGGAATGTGAGGTTTAAAACTGTTTGAAAAACACCAAATTAAAGTGCTAACACAGCCTTTAATCAGTACACAAGCTTGGCAAGGAAATGAAAGCAGGTTTTCTTCAATTTCCTCATCAAAACAACAGACTGATGAGTGTGTATGGCTGTATACATGTATGTGTGGAATGAAAAAACAAAGGTGACCTTTCTAATGTCTGACAGGTTTTCTGTGGGTGGGTTCATTTATATCTAACTAACACACTTATCTAATCACTTTAAATTAGTCTCTGCAGCAGTTTGGTTCACTTCCCGCCCCCAATAATCCCGCAAATATGCGCCAATGTTACGAAAGAGCTTGAATCAACGTTAGTGTCATTCAGGTAACAACTAAAATCCATGAATAAAAATACATTTAATCATTATTTAACATTTAAAACTGAGCATCCATCTAAGCTGCGTTGAAGTCCTAAAGAATAACAGGTTTCTTACCGACTTTGGGGTGTATCTCAGTCCACTATCCATGTAGTCCATGAAGAGGTCAATGCCTGGACTAGACAGCAAAAAATACAACTTTAAAAACACCCGAACTACTTCTTCTATCCCCGAACTTCTCCTCTTGAGTTATTTTGTGTTGTGTGTCTGAGCCTACAGGTCGCTGTGTCGAGGTGAACCTGCAGGCCTGCTGCTCTCCGACAGATGAGTCAACGATTCAACCTGAGAGCGCAAACAACCGAACAGAACCAGAGGACACGTTTTAAAAGCCGAGGCTCCTCTCCAGTCGAGATGTTCTCAGGTGTTTATCTGAGAGGAATATGTCGGCTATCTGTGGGACTCAAACAGAACAACAGAAAAAAAAACCTTTTCCGGGAACTTCAGGTTTCATCGGGCGTGTCTCCCCCCCCCGCATACACCTGTAGCCACTTCCTGTTTACCTGCCACAGGTGTTTTTCTTTATGTCCTTTTATGGAAAACACTACCGAAAAGTAGGTTGCTTCATTAAATAAAACCCTCCATTAACTCTAGGAGGACTATATTTTAGCATATTTCTCAACTTCAATCATTTGTAGTTCAATTAAAACACATACAACGTTATTAATATTTATTTATTTATTTATTTATTTATATATTGTGTAAACGTTTTTATTGATGTGGGTTTCACACAGCCTATTTTTAGTATCAGTCATGTGATCTGATCTGGGCGTCACGCTGCAGTGTTTGTGTAATGGATGGTGATGATGATGATGATGATGATGAGTCACCTCTGCTGAGTCACTTTCATCATGAGCCATAAGTTTCTGTTTGAGAAAACGGCATCCCCCAAATATGTGGGGATGAAAGGAATCAGTTTTTTCATTTTCATTTCAGGGGCTGTATTGATCCGCTGAAGAGAGGCGGATTGATACAGTTATCAGAGACTGTACTGCTCAACTGTAGGCCATCCCTCAACAACATTTACATTAAGAGATTCATTTTATTTAAATCAAAACAAACACACACTTCTATAGAGCTCAAACGATTGATATTGAAAAATTGATCATTGAAAAAATATCAAAAATCTCCTGGTTTTCTTTGTCTTTTATGATAATAAACTAAATATTTTGGGGTTTTGGACAAAACAGCTCAACTTGGTGGGCATTTCTTTAACTTTGAATTAATTAATAATGAAAATAAGCATTAGTTGCTACCTTATCTATTCATTAAAAAACAACACATCTATATGGAAGTTGTGAGTTTATTGTTGTGTAACCATAAATCTGTTCCCACTGCTGTCAACCAATTTATTTTTAAATCACTAATATGCATATTATATTAGTCCCCAGTCCCCTCAAACAACCAAGCAGGCTTTTAAATACGTTGGTGAACATTTCTTTAACTTTTCTGAGATTTTATGTACCAAAAACTTGATTGATAGGCTAATTGGCAGATTAATTAATAATGAAAATAAGCATTAGTTGCCACCCTAAAATAATGGTCCTTGTTTAGAATTTAATGCTCATTTTATCTAGCTGCCTGGTTTATATAATAATTACTTAAACATCTATCTATCTATCTATCTATCTATCTATCTATCTATCTATCATCCATCATCCGTCCATCCATCCATGAAAAAAACAACACGTCCATATGGAAGTTGTGAGTTTATTGATGTGTATCCCCCCTGTAACCATAAATCTGTTTCCATTGGTGTCAATCAAATTTATTTTTAAATCACTAATATGCATATTATATTAGTTCCCAGTCCCCTCCCACAATCAAGCAGGCAGTTACAAGATTTAAGCCGTTTGGGTGCATAGTGAGACAGTCACATACAGAGATACTGTCACAGGAAGAGAAAAAATAGAAAACAAAGAAAACAAACTTAAAAATATATATCATATCATTTCATATAAGAACAATGCACACCACAGGTAATCCTCCGGAAAAAAGCCATGATTGCAACATCAACTATACAGGCATACAAAGACAATACTAAGAGAGAGAGAGAGAGAGAAAAGAGGATTCTAGGATTCACTTTACTTGTGTCATTCTCTACTTGTAAAAATACACGTTAGCTCTCCAAGCCTTGTCTTTCTGTGTGTCTCTGTCTGCCTGCACAGCCCTCCAGCTCCAGGTTGTCTTCAATTGGCTTTGATCCAGGGCCGGCCCAAGCCTTTCTGGGTACCCAAATCCCAAATTCCAGATTGCACAATTTTGTATAGTTCCCCTGAAATCAATCAGCCTTCAAAATGATTTGTTACGATCCCCAAATTCAATATGTTCAGGGTTAGAAAATCAAAATGTCTTCGTTGTTTGGCATTTGTAAAGGATCCCAGAATTAATCACAGTTTAGCTCCCCCAAATCCACCAAGTTTTGTACACTTTAGCTTCATCTGGGGGCCTTCTGGTGGCAGATGGGCCATAAGCAGCTGCTCACTTCCTTTGTACCTCTGGGCCGGCCCTGTTTTGGTCTATCAGACTGTTCTACGCTTTATGACCAGCAAAGCCAACAGTTGCTCCAATAACGTGTGTGTACATCATCCCCAAAAATTAGTTTTCAAAGTTGCTTTTCTGGTTCTTGGTTTTTTGCTTCGGACAATTTGTGTAAAAAATAAAAATAAAAACAAGAAAACAAACCAAAAAACAACACTTTTTTTTCAGTTTGTGGCATGTCGTCGCCCACTGTCACAATGTCTGTGATAGTGCATAAAAAATCAAAGCCACATAGGAACCTGTCAGGTACATAGTATGGAAAAAAAGATTCCACAATACATTCAACTATGTAACACATGTCAATAGCTATTAATTAATCTATCAATGTACTGTTTCCCTATTGATAAAAAGGTTGTGTTTGTGTGTGTAGGAGGGGATATTTATCACATTCACTTCATAAGGGTTCAGAGTAGGTTTTGTGTGATGTGTTCGAGCTGGGGGTCTGTGCACACGTTCACCTTCCCTGTCTCTTTCTAACAGTGTGCCTGCAAACACAACTCATGACCGCCAAGCTGAGAACCCTAAACCGACTTATAACCTCTTTTCTGGGAGGAAAAAAAAAGAAGGTGGAATAAAAACATCTACTCTTATATATATTTAAACTGTATATGTATATTTTGTCTGTTATCATAACAAAGAACGGAAAGTAAATAATTCATGATTTCATTTTTTTCTCATTTGTTGTTTCACTATACATTTTAATTGGTACAAAGAACCTTCATATACAAGCAATCTATTGAGAGGAAAAAAGAACAAAATAAAACACCTATTCTTTTGGAGAAAACCATCAGAAACTGCATGGATGACACTTGCATGATGGAAAACTAAAGCGTAGTGTCTGGTATGCCGGTTTGATGATGGCTACTCAAAAACATTGAAATTTTGCTTGATTTGCCTTTCACTTTCAAAAATAAAGAAAATGTCTGAAGAAATGTTATACATCTTGATCTGAGATAGCTGTATTGATAATTACAGAGAAATCTGCAGAATCACATTTTCCATAATGCAAAATGGCAGATACATCACCTTTTCAAAAGAAACATGATCAAAAAGAGCTCTATAGTACAATAGTAGCAGTAGTAGAAGTAGTAGCATTACTTAAGGATTGTTTTGAACAAACCAGTAAATGGAGTTTGGATGTATGCAAATGATTTCTTTTAACAATAGCATATGTTATTGGTCAGTAGTATGTTCCCCCTCGGTTGCTGTCCTCAGACTCATAGTGCCCCCTGTAGGCTCTGGTTAGATCTGCATCTGCTCCAGGTATTTGTAGGTGGGGTTTTCGTAGCCGTGGTTCTGCATCTTGCTGAGGTGGCGTTCCTCTGGTGTCAGCATGGGGTCAACCTGCGAGACAGACACATGACACTAATAGCTAACCTCAACAAGGGCACCTGTGCTCCAGAGGCACAACATGCTGCGTCTGTTGTATTCAAATGCTGCAGGGAGAATAATTTAATTTGCTTTGCATTTACCCATGCTCCATTTACATAAGACCTGATAATTTAATCTAAATCTGACACTTCATAATAAGATGGATGGCAGCTCACTGAGAGCACTGGTGTGTGCAGTTTACAGTCTCTGCCCAAATCCCCACGCTGTGCTCCAAATAACAGGTGGCTTACCTCCACGATGCCGTGACTGATGGTGCCGTATTGCCTCTTCCTCAAAAGCACCAGACTGATCACAATCACAGTTGCTATGGCCACCGCGATCACCAGCAAGCCAATCAGTGCACTGCTCCCGAAGCTGAAGTCCTCTCCCAGAGGGCGGTAGGACTCCTAACAGGTAGAACGGGTGAGAGGAAGACAAGAAAAGAGAGAACAGTGAGGAGACAATATGTGTACAGAGACACAATAAAGTTGTCTTTGCTGTTATAATGAAGACGCTGAACACATATACTAGTTACCTTAATCAGGTAATCTTTTAAATGATTGTTATCATGCTGTCATATGATTGTTATCATGCTGTCATATGATAAAAAATGTATGTGGACCATTTGTTAATCTGGGTCTTGTTATGTTATGAATTTCCATTATGAGCAATAATCATGATAACATTAATAACTACATTTAACACTCAACTTTTGCAATCTGGAAACTTGCAGACACAAACTGTCTTCTTGTGTTTGCTGCCAGATCTCCAACATGTACACACAAGTTAAACTAAGAGCAAGTCTGCAACCAGCATCCACACATAAATACAGCAGCTGTCAAGTTGACCTGGAAGTGGAGCTGCTATGCTGCACTGTTCACTTCCACAGCTACAGGGATTTCTAAAGCACAACTATCTGTGTTTACTTTCAGTCAGATTCAAACAGAACAGTTTGCAGTGATTTCTGGTAATTTGAATTTTTTCTGAAAGCCGTAGCAGGCTCTGTCTCCTGGCCCTGATCGATATTGTTCTTGCTGGAATCTGTGTTCCCAAATCAAATATCTCCAGTGGAAGCGGTGAGTAAATTGTTATCACGATCAATAGTCATAATGGAAAGATACAAGATTAGCGCCCAGGTTGATATATACACCAGTTTCCCTTTAAAATATAAGCCAGTAATTTATTTACAAGGAGAAATAAGGAGATCAATCTTCCTCGAATGAGCTTTGAAAAAACTAGAGGAGAATTACGCCTTTATTCTCATGTTATTTTATAAAACCACAGGACAACATCCCTTTTTTGCAGAGGTAGGACACGATTGACTTGTGAATAGTGTGTATACATGCATGAAATGTGTCTTTGTGGAAGACTGTGTAATATCTTGGCCAATTTCGTATACACACGCAACCACAGTCACCTACACTTGTCTTCACAATGTAATCTGGCACATATGACACAAACTAATCATATGTAGACAGCCACTGGGGATTTTGTTTTTTTACTGCTGATTTTTCACACATAAACTGAGCACACCCAGTTTGTGTGGATTCACATTCATCATATGAACTGAGATTTTCAATGTGTACATTCAGATACATTCACATAACAAACATGCACCCATGCATAAATAACCAAAACATATTTGCCTGAACAGAAAACTGTAAAAAAAATACAAATAAAACAAAGAGAGGGGATTTGGGGTCTGTTCCAAAGCTGTGTTTTATTTTATTTTGGCAGTTATCAGCTGCAGAACTGGTATCTTTGCACACTCCCACACTCCCTCCTTCTTTCATCTTCTCCCCACTACGGATAACTACAGTTCCCCAGAGAGCCCTGTGGAGGGCGCCGCTATACTCACCAGCTCATCATCATGCATAACGCTGACTCTCTCTGCACTGTAAACCACTTCTTTAACATCCAGAGACTCATCAATCACCTGTCGACACAGACAGGGGAGCCCAGGTTACACTCACCACAATGTGTGTGTGAGATCGTATGTGTGTGAGATAGATAGCGAGAGAAAGAGAGAGATAGGCAGGCGGAGAGCAAGAGGGTGTGAATGTGCAGCGAAGTAAACTGTAAGGATTATCTGTGTTTGGGTGATGATACACTTGGAGCTGTCTTGTACAAACTGGAAGGAGAGAGGGAGGGGGTTTGCAAGCATCAACAACAGACTCTCTTCTAGGCACACAGTTAACATGTCTTTCTAAACAGACTGTCAGCCACTCATTACTGAGAGCTCTAATCTAAAGAAGAAGCGCTTGTGAGTGGAAGTGGGCGTGTTCAGGAGGCAGAAACAAAATCTGCTGTTTTGTAGAGACAGAGCAGTCCAGAGTCTGTTTCTCACGATGACATAATCACGATTGACATTTTAGGTGTCACCACCGTTTGTTGTTTTCAACCTCTGATTGCTCTGTCCTAGGAGACTGAGGAGACATTTCCAAAAAGAAACATGCATGCACACAAAAACTTGCATGACTCATATTCACACACAAACAAATACGCAGTTGTGCAGTCGGTGTTGGTTTAGCATGCGGAACACGGCACACATTCAGCAGCCAAGCATCGTTTGAAAATCCATGAAGAGGAATGGTGTGTTTGGCAAAGAAAAGTAGCATGCGATGACTGCCGAACAAAGTGTGGAGTTGATCTGAATGAGGGTCGGTTGGCACAGGCCAAAGAGAGACACGCAAATAGCCCAGTGTGAGATAGTTGTAACTATGACAACATAGTTACTGGAATAATCTGACTCATTAAAAGCTGAACTTAAGAGAGCTATGTGAAAGCGCTTAGTACGGCATGTACTCATCAATTTCAATCATCAGCACTATTTCCTCGGCCCGAGGTTGTGACAATAAAATGGCACTGTCAAGACAGTTGTCTGATTTAGGATGTTTAATATGGAATACAATTTGGTATCTTTACACAGTTTCCTGTGTTTTTGCTTTAACAATGCTGCTCTCAGTTCATGTGTTGAGCAAGTTAGAAAGGTTAAACAGAATGATAACAAAGTTCTTACCACGTTGTCGCTGATCTTGGGTTTGCTGTTGATGATTCTCTCCTCGGCACCTATCAGACCGTCTAAACCAGACATAGCGGAGCCTGCAGGAGGTGAAGGAGCACAGTCAATAACAGCAGAGCAGCACAAACAAACAGACAAACAGCGATGGTGGTATTGATGGTGGACAGCTGCACATAGCTATCCAGCTCTTTTCCTCACAACTGTCGCCTCAGTCTCCTTAGTGCACTGGTGACAACAAAGCCCTTTCTTCCATTCAGCACAGTGTGAGCACTGTGAAGCCAACATGACATCGACCTTATTTTCTACAAAGGCCTTCTCAAAGTGGATTTTTGCATATAGTAGCTGTGATTTCTCTGTAAACATACAGTTACATGCATCGACTCTCTAAAGAGAAACCCCTCTGAACAGTTATGAGTCATCCTGACATTTCGTATCTCTCACTTCACGGTCAAAGCTCCGTATTACTGTACAAATCCAGAAATCCTTCACAGTCCCTTGAGATTTTAAAGATGATAATTTTTTTTTAAAAGTCTTAGTAAGTGGCTAAGCTGAAAACTGGGCCAGAGTGTCAAATATGCATGTTAGACTGATGGTTTTCAAATAGGCATAGGATCTATTAATATGCACACACCAGATAGGCCATGAATAAATCAAGAACTGAGAGGACAGAGAGCGAGCGAGGCAGTGATGGCAGGGTCCTGAACAATGTACAGCAGCGATGAGTCTGGTGTCGGCTTATTGTCTGCTGCTACTGCTGGTCAGCCAATGCCAAATGCTCAAGATTAGTACCACTGCCTTTGGATGAAGCGTGGAACAATAATGTGCGTTTAGAAGCTTCACTCAGCAGAAGTGACGTCTGAAACTCTGGCAGGTTATCAGATGGTACTGCAGGGTGCACACAGTGTTGCTTTCAGCAACAATAACACACAGCACAATGGGAGTGACCTTTATGGGAGCAATGTGACCACTTATCTATGAGGATTTGAAAATGTGTTAAAACAATTTGTCCAATAAATCGATTACTGTACTCCCCCAGCTTGTAGTCACATAAAAGCTGGGTTTCACATAATGGAGAACATTGTATTTTTCACTATTCCCACATAATTTCAAGTTGTATAAATAAATGGAGAAAATAATGGACAGATTAATACTTAATGAAAATAATCCTTAGTTGCAGCACAAGTAGAAAACACAAAATCAACAGTAAATACAGAGGGACAAAGTTCTGCGGAAAAAGCGGGGGAGGTTGCGCATCTATTTTCATATAATCAATATATAATTTAGATTCAACAATTAGTGGAAGGTGTCTCTGTGTTCACTGAGTAAGCTCACAAGGTTCAGCCCAGATCAGGTGATGTAACCATGTCCCTGTTTCATGTCTTGGAGGACAAATTGGGCCAATTTAGACTGGGCTGTGGGTCAGCAGCGGAAACACTGAGCCTCAGACAGGGCCACTAAATCACACAGCTCCTATCAGGAAGAGGGGAATGAGTGTGTGGGTGGGGGAATAATTAAGCAAGGTGCTTTGACAAACTGACATACTGAGGACAGGATGACAGCAAACACATGACTGAAGAGTCTCCCTGAGAGAGGGGAGCTGGCTGCGACCTATCTCTACTAGAAAAAGACTTAAAAGCCACTTTGCTATTCAGCATGAGGTGATAATCCTAGCATGATGAAAAGCATAAGAGCAACATAAATCCCACCACGCAGCCCATGTGAGTCATCAAAAAAAGTTAAAAATTAACCACCAGATGGCTTCTGATGAAATAGAAATGGTGGGAGAGATAGCATCCCATATTGCACCAAGGGAAAGGAGAACAGTGGAACAAAATAGAAGATGGGAATGGCTTGGGAGATGAGGAGGGGGGGGGGCAGAAAAACAAGACGCAACAGAGGCACCAACCTTTCTTGAAGGCACGTGGGGAGTCTGATAGATCGCCTTGGCATTAGAAATGAGCAACAAAAAAGAAAAAACAGAAAGGGGGAAGGAGAGAAGAGAGAAAACTTAGGTGAGAAGAGAAAAGGCAGGATTATCAAGCTGTGTTAATTGATTAGGAAAAGAGACCAGCAGGAAAGAGTCCGAAAATAAATTCGAGACATGACCAAACTCAAAAAAGGGAGCCATTTCAAAACTGGCTAGCTCTGTCTAAGCCCTCGGGGGGTGTTGGCATGTATATTAAATGTTCCTTGGGGATTTACTTGTAATTTGCCTTCCATCTTGCTGGAAGTGTTCCATCCATCACTTTTTTCTCTCATTGAGGATTCAATCTTTTGTTTGGCACAAATGTGACAAAGAACAAAACCATAACTGCTCATTTTCCCCCCTAAGCTTTTGGCTCCGGCTCAGTACCAAAGCCTGAGGCTTTGCGCATTTATCTGAACTTCAGTAGTGCTGTGTTGAAGGCTTGGCCACAGGGAACTGTGCAGGCACCGATAAGTCCAAACCCATGGCTCCACAGCACATTTGCATCGGCATAAAACACATCGTAAACCTATTCTCCCTCACTGTGCAACAGTTCTGGCGTGCTTCGTCACCAATGTCCTTCAGAAAGACTCATGTGTATGGCCTATTGTTCTCCACACAGCCACAGTGTTGTTCATGATGCTGCATGTGACTGCGTCTAAGGTCTGTAGCTGCTCACCCTCTGGCTCTGAATGGGACCCCAAGGATGTGACCTGGAAGGGCCGGTAGGGTTTGCCCTCAGACACGGGGACTTCCACACTCTCCTCTGACGAGACGGTGACATCTGGCTGTGATTCAGAGATAGATGACAGGAACTGGTCCATGTCAGCTTTCTGCTCCTGGAGTAGCTCGTCTGCAGAAAGGTACAAATGACAAACTATTAGACGACCTGGCACGTGCTAACACCTGTCAACCTGGGACGTGGCAGCAGTGTGCAAAATGAGAGTTTCACCAATTACTGTTAACATTCTTTTTCAAATAGAGCTGCTGCAAGAGAGGGGTCTGTTCCCATTTCTGCTAACTACCAATTAGTATTTTTCTGAAAGCTATTTTCCGTGTAAATCTGCACATCTCCCAACAGGATGCTGCATGGTGAAAGCTGTGACCCAGTTCTGTCACTGCACCCGCTCCACTTTAATCTGTGCTGCAACACCATGCTATGAATCCTTCAATGAACCAAAGGAAACAAAAGAAAATAATAAAATGTGCTGGACATTGCCGGTCTTAAATTGTACCACTGGAGATGAATACATCCTAAATACAGTTTCCAGCTTTAGATCTAACTGTTAAAACAAGAGCTGAGACCTTTAAAACAGAAAGTAGAAGCTGTATTGAATTCCCTTCCACAAATTCATATTGAGAAAAAGAAGACAATTTTCTCTGTCTCTGATAATTGGTTTACAGACAACGCTAAAGCCTGTCTACTGGTCTCTTCCTATATTTGTGTTTCCCTTCGCACAAAGAGAAAGCTCTCTGTTTTTGTCTGTTTGCACCAGATATAAGAAAACAAATTCACAGAGGGCCAGAGGAAATGTGATGCATTGGCTTTATCTGTCTGCCACATGTAAGAATTCCATCACTGTTTTCATTTCACTTCATTCTTATTACAGCCCGCCGTCCCTCCTCCAAGCTGCCCAGGGGCTCTTCGACAGAACACGACTCACCAATTTCATCCTGAATCTCGTCGGCCACGTAAGGTACTTTGTAGAGCAGAGACAGACTCTGGTTCATCCTCTCATCAATCACACGCAGGTGGGTCATCACCTGGTGTTGGAAAAACAGACAAACAGGGCGTCATGTAAGCAGAAGTGAAACGATGGGTTTAATTGCTTAGATCTTGGATAATTCAAAACAGAGGACAAAATATTGTTTTTTGTCCTCTATTTTGATGCACAATGTTACCAATGACATCCAGGACGGCAGGTATTGATATGATTTATTAATGGATTAATTGTTTAGTCTATAAAACACTGCAGAACACAATGGAATTATGTTTATAATGATATAAGATAGTGAAAAGCTGAAAACACTCATATTGGAGAGCTGGGATTTAAAATAAATAAATACTTGAAATAATAAATCATTCATTAAAATGGTTGTAGAATCATTTTATGGCATATGACAAATCCATTAATTCAATAATCGTTTCAACACTAATCCAGTGACAACTAATTACAGAGTGATTTGCCAACTATTAGTATAAAATGTTCATCCCAACAGTATTTATTTAAAAGCTAACATTAATGAACCAGAAAATACACACTTATCCCAGAAAATCCTCCCCGAAAATCTCTTGAGTTTATTGTCACTAAAGTTTTGACACCTAAAAGCATCATAGATTACTAGTTTGGCTTTCCTGTTTAGAGATTTTGCACAGAAGAGCTATGTACAGCGGGAAAAACAAAGTGGTGCGGGGAGATAATTCATATAAGAAGATTAAGATTCCTCTTCAGAAACAGGTGTCAGCAGGAAGAGAACATACAAACCAAACAAAAAGATGAAGACAAAGGCAAGAAAATGAAGAATACATGAGATAAAGATGAAGAGTTTGCTTTAGCTCAGAAAGCAACATGAGCCATTGCCACGATGCCACATGTACAAAATGGAAACAACTACAAATTTGTCTTTTTTGTGTGTGTGTTTTTTTTCTTTTGATTAATTGGTACAACCAAGAAAGAGACTATAAAATGTCATAAAATGTAATAAATGGCTAAACAGAAGAAATTTCAGGACTGCCAACGAGCTGTTCTCTCATAAATGTTCTGTGGGGAAAGACATTCGTTCATGTTCACAAACATGAACAGAACTGTCACAGAAATGGCGGAAATGCGCTTTCTGGTAGAGAACATATTTTCTTAAGATGAACTCAGACTCGCTCACAGCCAGCCAACTTGCAGACATAAAACAAGTTGCTGCACGTATTATTCAAATCAGTTTTGAAGCTCTGAACTAACTTGACAGGATCTACTGCCTGTCAGCCCCAATGATCACCACTATATCACAGTTTGGGTAAGGAAAACAAACTCTTGTGATTGAACAGATGCAAAAACTTTTCCAAAAAATTCTCTAGTCACTTTCACTGTTTCTACCAGCAATATGATGTTAAGAGAGGAGAGATATTTCCACATCTCCGCTGCCAAAGTGGTTGGCAGAATATAAAAAGCTACCAGCCACTGACAAACCTGACCAGCTCTTGGCAGGTAACTGGTGTTTATTTCCCACTCTGATGATTGACTGTTTTAATCTTCCAACACATGGCTGCAGTGCACCAGAGCAAGCAACAGATGGCAATAATGCACCTTACCCATTAACTGCACGCTGCAGCCCCTGTGGCACCTTCCTGTCGATGTTTGACAAACAATCCTCATTATGAAGATTACATGTCCCAGTGTCGGAGTACAGATTTCAATGCATCAAGCAACCTCTCCTGAGTCTGACAGGTGAGGCTTTTATAGAAACAGAAATAATCTTGATCCCAGAAAGTCACATAACACAGTTATATAAAGCCCAGCAAGCCTTCTGTTTACAAAGGATTCTTTTATAATGCACTTCTAAGTCACATATCAAATCCACAAACAAGGGGAGTTGCAAAAAACGAAAATACAGACATGGACTCGGACAGAATTTGGCTGAGTGAAGAAACACACAGGAACTAGCCTTGACAAATAAACACTGTGAGAGAACAACAATACAGATCGGCTTCCCATGACTGAGCACAGAGGCTCGCCGCCTCCCAGATATCACAATTCATCTAAATAGTAACCCTCTGGTCCTTTCCCCCCTCCCCTTCCTCACTATGTTGTTTCATCCATTCGCTGTGTTATCTGTAATGGTGGAGGATAACTATAAATGGTGTCGAAGGGCACTGACACACACAGGCGAGTACAGAGGAGCTTCCAGCCAAATCCCTGTGCAGCGGCTCAGAGTCCAGCATTACACAAGACCTGCGCAATGTTAATCTTCGGCTGAGGCTTAAGTGAATGAAACACCCGCCCTCCCTCCGTCAAACAAGCCTACTCACTCCTCCTGGGCTTCAACTCAGAGAAACACACACTCTTTCTACCTCCTACACACTTAGAAACAGGCCAGATAGGAGCAGGCTGAGACATCATTATCTCTCCCCTGTCTGAGCAGGAATAAGAGGAGTGTGAGATCTTGGAGTGGCTCGGCATGAGGTTTCAGATTTACTGACACAGCCTTTAATACAGTATGTCTTCATTGCCGAAACCAGATCAGGAAGGATGCAAAACCTGAAAGCGTTGGCAGGTACCAATTAACCAAATGAAACTATACAGACCTGATGAAATACACAGTTGATATTCAGTTATATATGGAGTATATGTATATATATGCTGGTTCCAGCTTCTCAGATTTGATGTTTTTTTCTGTTTTACATCATTGTAAATTAAATATTTTGAAGTTTTTGACTCTTGATTGGACCAAAAAAGTAAAATAAAGATATCACTTTGGACCTCAGGCATATTGTTGTCAAATCCAGTGATCATCAGGATTAAAGAAACTGACCTGTGACTTCATCTGAGCGGCCTTCTCAGGATCCACAGCCAGGACGTGCTGGTAGTGGCGGATGGTGTGCTGGCGGTCCTTGTTCTCGGCGCGGACGTACCTTCTCAGGGCTTGCAGGATGCGGTGGGGCTGAGGGAGACAGGGAGTGTGAAGAAGAGGGGTGGTTGAGAGAGTTGTGGTGGTAAAACACTGCCTCATTACCATCTCTGTGTAATATAATTGGATCAGTATGGTGCAATATCCCTGTCTTGTGTGGATATAAGGAACATGACAGCAATTTCTTCTCTGGAGACCATCAATCAATTGTACTTCTCTTCTAATTTTATAGATATCAATCAAATTATTTTAAAAGTGGTGCCTATTGTACTCAGCCCTTTTCATTTTTTCAGATTTAATCAGATTCATGAACAAAAGTATTAGCATTTAAATATACTCATAATACCAAAAGTATTATATAATATATATTATATTGTTATAATAATAGCATTATTGGATTATAATCATTGATAGATTAAAGTATGTATCACTTTAATGCTGGTAAAGGTGGGGCTAATTTTAATCACTTTATATTCTGCTATGTATATCAATAGAACATATTTTATTTGTTGATAATATTTTGTATAATAATCTAAATATGTAAAGTAACTAGTAACTAAAGTTAGCCAAATAAAGTAGTTGAATAAAAAGTACAATATTTCCCTATGAAATGTAGTGGAGTAGAAGTATTCAGTACTTTACGTACACTCCATCATTGTTTAAATGTCACATGTAGTGATGTTGTTAAATAACAGTTAGCAGTATTGACTCTGGAAATTAAATATATTAACGGTTAAATTATAAAATAAACAGATTTCTTTGATTAATCCAGTGAAAAAATGCCTGAAAAGATATTCTCCTGGTAAACAAATCACTATTGTCTCAACATACATGTTCATATTAATATCACCTACAGTACAGTTGTATCACCAATGTACATATATATTATTTACTGTATTGAAACTGTGAAC